CAGTCTGTCGCGGGGGGCGGTTTTGAATACGCATTCGGTACCAAACTATTCCCAAGGATTTCCTGTTTGATTTACAAACAGATTCGCCATCCATTTGGGTGTGCGCGATTTTGTTTATAAGCATAGTTCATAAACCAAATAAAGGAGGAAGAACACCTTTAATCAATGTTCCCGTGAGAAACTTGCTGAGGCAAACGTTAAATACCGGTGGTTAAGCACGCAATCAACATAGTTTCGATATTTTATATAAGGTAATTATTCATATCAAAATGTCTTTTAGGCAGGGTGCTTTGAAATTTTATGAGTGTCTTGCACTTTAAATGGAACGTTTAAAAGGAGTTATGTTCCTGAGTTAGAGACGGAGTGTCCTAAAAGTACCCTCTCTTTCTAGTTGAACCGCAAAAACAAGAGAATACTGGCGCCCGCCCCACTATTAATGCAAATTAGCGGACTGCTTCTCTTGGTTAACTATTGGCTGTTAGACGTATAAGCTTTCACATCCTACCTCATCATTGGTTAAAGTTAGATCCTCATCCCCACGGGATGTTGACAGATCTGTGACCTTTTTAGCCTATCATAAACCGTTTTATTGTAAAAAGAGAAGAGATATAAAAGCAATGTGTGAAAGTGTCATTCCTCCACACCATCTGGGGCTCGTGGAGGAATGACAAGGAAGTAACACAAACTTGTCCCTGAGTTTTGAAAACAGAATAAGAATTGGCTCCCTTAACAATGTCTTTTACCTCCTAAAATCATTTAATTCTCCTGAAATAGTGCCGCATACAAAATCATGCAGGGCTTTTAAAATACTTATAAAAGGATGTTTATGCTCTGAACATTTATGCAAATAATTGTTATATTTTGCCTTTCCAGATATTCTGAAATATCTGAAGGTAAGCACACTAGCCCATTTTACAGTTTCAAAGTAATTTTAATGTTATTTGTATTTTCCCTTTAAAAGTACCTTTTAAAAATGTATCAGGCAAATAATTTGCTAATTAGTATTTTGTATTTTAGTCTCTTTTTACAGGAGAGGGTAACAGCATTATTGATTAAAACAACAATTAAGGTACAAATGTGTAGTATAAACAAACTATAGGGATAACATTATCTAGAGGGGAAAATTCTGTTAATAAATTATTTTCTTCTACTTAATTTAATCTTATGTAAAGCTGGCTTCTTTAAAGGGTATAATTAATGATAACACTTTATTTAGTCATCTGAATTGCAGGACACTGTTGTATATGTTCTGTAGCACTAATATAATATGACTCATTTTGACGCCTTTTTAACAGCTAAAGGGACTGTTGAGAGAGAGAGAGTGTCTCTCTCTTTCTTTTCTCAGAGCCAATCACTTCAGAAAAGGACTGAATTATCTATAACCTACTTTGCACTCACAACCAAAGTAATGAAACTTTATGTTCTCTTTGTATTCCACAGTAACAGTTCTCACTTCTTGTGATGATCTTGGGTTTAAGCTGGTGAAAACTAGTCCACAAATCATTCCCTAAAGAAGCTGATTCTGTGACAGAAGATAATATAATGTGAAAGATAAAATTAAGGCAGCATATACTATTTGATTAGCCTTTAACAGGTAATAAGCAAGTGTCTACTTAAATATCCAGGGAAGATTCTGGTAATAATGTCAGAGGTTTTTTTATTTGTTTCTTCGTGTTTTGTTTTCCACCCCACACACATTATGATGTGAGCAAGGCTCAAAGCTACTTGTTGGGAATAACAATAGCTGTATCCTAATGAATCCCCAAGTTTATTTTAGTCTGTCCCTTAAAAAGACTCTCTCTCAAATACTGTATATGATGCAGTATATGACACAAACACCCAGGCACTGGGACAAGGGAAGAGATATAAGAACATTCATGGTGATTAATGGAGAAATTCACACATCAGAGCTATTGTTTCAGTTTTCATTCATTCTCATCAGGTGTTCTTTCAGCTGTACAGGCTCCCATTTTACCTATTGGGGTGCAGAGCCCCATCAGTATGCAGTAGACCCAGGTGTATGCATGGAGTGGCCAGGAGGCCGCGAGACCTGGTAGCTGAATGATGAAGGGTTGTGCACAGGCATGCAGCAGGATTTGGGTAACATATATAAAGCAAATTCAGATTCAGTTAGTCAAGGGATTCCTGAGATATAACATATCCCAATGATTTGTTTGCATATTTCAAAATTCTATAAAATCCAAATGTATAGGTAAATTGCCTTAGAAATTGGTATGATGCAACAATCCTCAGGTAAAAATTACAAGGAGTCTGGTGGCACCTTAAAGACTAACAGATTTAATTGGGCATAAGCTTTCGTGGGTAAAAACCTCACTTCTTCGGATGCATAGAGTGAAAGTTACAGATGCAGGTAAAAATTGTGTGGCAAAGTTGGGGTTATTTGATCAGTGGGTGATAATATACTCCCCCAATTAACTTTGATGTTAAAAATGTTCAAAATCCACATGCATAGTAATATTATCTTGAATATAGGTATATCAAAAGAGGCGCAGAGGTGCACTCTGTTATACAAATGTTGGGGGTCATTGATTCAAAAAGTTCCTCATATACAGCCCTTCCACTAAGAAGGTGATTTTAATATTCAAATTCCTCTAAAATCCAGAGACATGGAGAATTGTCTTGGAAATAAGTTCGATGTATCAGGGGCTATGGCAGGTTTGTTTCATAATTGTGGGATAATTTGTGTAAGGCATTCTTTTATTCTATTCCTCCAATATGGACCTGATTTCAATATTCATATTGTTCTAATATCCATGTACATACGACATTTGTCTTGATATTTGGTATTCCACAAAAGCGGTGGGGGTATGGATTACTTTGAGGGGTGGAGGAAAACAAGGCTGGAGAAGAACAGAGCAGTTCACCCTTTTCAGAGCTGATATATCAGAATACATTTATTTCCATGGATTGTTCACAGGGCTGTGCAGAGTCCTTCTCCCCTTCACCAGCCTCCAAAAAGGAATAAAGAATCTGGGGTTTACCTTGTCTTCAGCTGCTTGATTTGTTCCTCATAACCCTTCAGTTACCAGCTTCCCTCTTCGCCTTGGCCTCCGCACTTTTACTGGGGGCAGGGGGCAAGATGCAGAGGAGCCCAGAGCTGATGCAGGGGGAGGCTAAAGTATACCCACAAAGATCCTTCATGCCCTCCCATAGTTGTCTCTGTCATTTCCCCCTTTCTACCACCACTTCCTCAAAAATCAAGGAAAACTCACTACCCAAAATCTTGGTTAATACAGAGTTTATGTTGATTGGCAGTGCCTCCTATCATCTCTAAATGTCAAATGCACCTAAACTTGAACAGCTGTATGTTGGACTGAGGTTCACTTACTCAGCAGATGGGTCTAACAAATCTTTAAGGCAAAACACTCAGCAAGTGGTGATCAGTTACTTAGAAGTGGGAAGCTCATCAGGATGATCTCATCACAGTCACTTCCAGTACAGGCCAATACAGCTTTAACCTCCCTTTGTTAAACAAACTTACTTATAACTTTTATTTTTATATATCAGCTTTGAATACATTTTTCACAGGTGAGATAACTTTGGGGGTGGGGGCTCTGTTAATTGCTGTATTTTAGAAATAGTCCATGTTGATACCGCTTTGATTTCCTTATTCTTTTCAGACAGCTTCAATATAGGTACCGCTGCTGCTACACTTAAACTGTTCTTTTTCTGACAGCAATATTAGCGGCTATGTTACTTTTTGTTTTTTCTATTGATCTTAGTAGATATTTCTTCTCTCAACATGCCTTTTTTTAAAAAGTCATCAACATTCCCTTTAACACTTACATTTTTAACAATGTAATACTTGCACTCCTCCCGACTGTCTAACTTCTTCTCTCTGCAGTGTTCTTAATCAGTACAAAACTCCTTTTAACTTAGAGTATGCATCCGAAGAAGTGGGCTGTAGCCCACGAAAGCTTATGCTCTAATAAATTTGTTAGTCTCTAAGGTGCCACAAGTATTCCTGTTCTTTTTGTGAATACAGACTAACACGGCTGCTACTCTGAATCCTTTTAACTTCACATCCCCTTCCTTAAATCACTCAGCTTCAGTTTTTCATTGTGGAATAGGACATTTCCAAATGCCTTACTAGCTTCTAAATTCTGGGATTGTAAACTTTTCACCTTTTTGCCCAGTGTGGAACAGATTTTTTGGCCAATGCATTTGGAAGCTTTAAGCTTATCTGTGTCTTTTATATTCATTTTTCAGCTTTACACATTTTGAAGTGGTATCTGCAAAGCTGTACTCCAGCTGTACAGCCCTTTACGGACAGCTGTGTTTTGTTGTCCAAGACTATCAATAACCACACAGATCAAGTCCACTGCCTCTCTAGTATGCACAGTTCCAGAACCTCAGTGTGTGTCACATGCTCCCTCCAACTTAAAGAATGACCCCCTTAACTATATACAGTGTGTGAGTTCTCATTGACCTGTGAGAAAAGGTTAGCCAAATCCACTATTTTAGTCCCCAGCTAAAATCCAATCTGCTCCCAAAATCTAAGGAGCGTTTTCAAAAGAAATAGGCCATGATGTGAAGCACTTTTCTGGAAGATCCTCCCGAAGTGAAAATACAACAATGACAAATAAAAAGCACACTTCGAATGTGGCTCTTATTTTAAGGAGTTTAAAGTAACCAGTATTGCTGGAAAATCTGGGATTCCAATAATTAGTTAGGATTTAGTAATGTATATAAATACAAAATCTCAGGAAATACTACAAAACTAAATGTATATATCTGTAATCAAAAGATTTCCGAATTTTAAAAGGAGCAGTCTACTGCCAATGGCGAGCGGGGGGAGGGGATTGCTCTCCCGCCCTTTTCTTCTGAATGAGCATTGTACAGAGGCCAGTGGGCGAAGGAAGGGAAAGACAACTAGAATAGACCCGCCTCTTTAAGGTTTTCAATTAGGTCGGTTCAAATTGTATATAGAGAGACGAGCTCACAGTCAGTGGCATAGTTCGCAGACAGAGAATTTTATAGTTTTGATTGGGGCAGTATTCAGTTAGTCATGTCTGGTCGTGGTAAAGGTGGTAAGGGACTTGGAAAGGGAGGCGCTAAACGCCATCGGAAGGTGCTTCGGGATAACATCCAAGGTATTACGAAGCCGGCTATTCGTCGTTTGGCTCGTCGTGGCGGTGTCAAGCGTATTTCTGGGTTGATTTATGAAGAGACCCGTGGCGTGTTGAAAGTGTTTTTGGAGAACGTGATCCGTGATGCTGTTACTTACACTGAGCATGCTAAGCGTAAGACGGTTACAGCCATGGATGTGGTGTATGCTCTGAAACGCCAGGGCCGCACTCTGTACGGATTTGGTGGTTAGAGTCTTTCGTCTCTCCATATCTAATTAACAACGGCTCTTCTCAGAGCCACCCACGTTTTCACAGTAAGAGCTGTATCATAATGAGCACGGGAAGGAAGACGTTGGACGAGGGAAAAATACTTTGTATTAGAACTTCTGATCTAAGCAACAAGTTTATCACTATTAGAAAGACAGTACAGATGCATCTCTATTTCAGCGCTCATTTATGTAGAGGTGCGGGGTTGAATCATGAACGTCTGAAAACCGCAAGTAAAACTGCTCAAGGGAACACGCAGCAAACTCTAACTGGGCTCCTCCCGTTTGTGTTCATATTTTGTTTAGAATATCGAAGTAATAGTTGTGAAGTATTGAAGCTATTTGATTAACAGCAAACACTTGCAGGAAAATACCATTTGGCAGTAGATGGTGTCCTTAGATGCAGTCTCTGGCGAGTTCCCCCATCAGTCGCAGAGGCACAGGAAATTGGGTTTATAGGGAAGAATGTCGAGCGCATTTTCTAGAAAGCAGCGTTACGGGGGTATTAAAATAATGCTAATATTTTTAGATAGTGTATTAAATCAATTTGGGAGATGCATTTTGTAGTGTAGTTGAAGGGGATTAGTGAGGGAGCCAATCATTCTCTTCGTATAAATGCTGCCGTTACGTGACTGATCTAGAATAGCCATAAGATTACCGTGTAAACACGCATTGGCCCAGGTCGGCGAGGAGAGTGATGGGGGGAAGCGGGAGAAAATGGCAGTTTTAGAAGCAAAAATCCGTTCTCTATCTGGTTGCTTGGCGCGGATTAAAAACAAGTCCCTGCGTTTGAAAAGCCCGCGCTGTGCAAGGATTAGTCAGTTACCAGCTTTGCGTGAGTTTGAAAAGCCCGCGCTGTGCAAGGATTAGTCAGTTACAAACTTGCGTGAGTTTGAAAAGCCCGCGCTCTGCAAGGATTGCACAATGACAAACCGTCCTTTTAACCCCTTCAAGGAGCTACCTAAACGCACCCCTTTGCTCGGTCGGAGGAGTAGGGGGTGGTTTTGAATACTAGTTCGGTACAAAACTAGGTCCCGGGGATTTTCAGAAAATCATTTTCTATTTAACTTTCAAACAGATGCACTAGTCATTTGGAAACCTTTGTTCTCCTAAATCTGATAACTATCTGGAAAAGAAAGTTGCGTGTGGGACGTGAAATGCATATACAAATACTGACTGTTCCTGTAAAAAGTTACCCTGTGGGCGAATGATCGTTATGCATTACATCTCAATTCCCCCATGTCGTCTTCAGACCATATTATTTCCTACCCACTAGATATTTACATAAATGCTCTTGTGTGTTTCTGTAAACTGAATGCACTGCTGCTATGGAATACTCACTTTAGCCAGTCTTTTTGACTACATCTATCCTTACTGTTAAATAAATCAATAGTTGGTCCATTTATCAATGTCCTGGTTTAATTACCTCCGCAAGATAGTCTCGAAGATAGGGGACTAGGGTTTTGTTTAAATTAATTTAATTGATAAGTTTACCTCAAAGAAACTAAATTAGGAGCAAGAGCACCTTCAATGAGTGTTCCATGTCACTGAGGGCCAATGTACAAGACCCGTTGCAGACATTTCTAAACTGTAAACACAAAGAAAACTCCCTTGATATTCAATGAGCTTGAAATCAGGGTAGTCTCTCGTATTCTTTGCAGCTCCGCAATAACAGTGTGGGGAAAAAATGGTACCGACCCCCTTTTTTTTCTTTTCTTTTTTTAATTCTATTTTATTGCGTCTTTTTTGGGGAGACGCAAAACCCACCACATTCCCAGCCGGCATATTACACTTCATCAATGGTCACAGTTAGATCCGCTTCCCCATTGGCTGTTCAGAGAATGCAAGTCTTCAGCCTATCACAAATAGTTTGAGTCTGAAAACGGAAGAAATATAAGGGCTGCTGCTGGGTGTCCCTTGGCTTACTTTGCATTTCTTTTCCCGAGCAAACCGTGTTAGGTGGAACGTGAATTGCAAATGTCAGGCCGAGGAAAGCAGGGCGGTAAGGTGCGGGCTAAAGCGAAGTCTCGCTCCTCGCGGGCTGGGCTGCAGTTCCCGGTGGGTCGAGTGCACCGGCTGCTCCGCAAAGGCAATTATGCTGAGCGGGTGGGGGCCGGAGCCCCGGTCTATATGGCCGCGGTGCTGGAGTATCTGACCGCTGAGATTCTTGAATTAGCCGGCAACGCTGCTCGGGACAACAAGAAAACCAGGATCATCCCCCGTCACCTGCAGCTCGCCATCCGTAACGACGAGGAGCTCAACAAGCTGTTGGGGAAAGTCACGATCGCTCAAGGTGGTGTCCTGCCCAACATCCAGGCCGTGCTGCTGCCCAAGAAAACTGAGAGCCACAAGGCCAAGAGCAAGTAAAGCTGACTGAGAAATAAACACTTCGAATTTAAAACTAACCTAACGGCTCTTTTCAGAGCCACCCACAAAGTCAAAAAAGGGTTTGATTATCTCCAAAAGTTCCGGTAGGAATCGTGTGTACGCCAAACAGTGAAATCCCCCTCTTACAAAAAACGTAACAAAAAATCAAACAAACAAGAATAACTGACAGCGGGGACAGGATTTCGCCCTCATTTTTTTCTAGCGGTGGATTAAATTGGGCAAAATGTGTAAATTACATTCCGTTCACACACGCACTTAAAAGTGCCTTACTGCGGGGGGGATAACTTTGTCTGAAGATGACATGGGAAATTTGAGATTTAATGCGTAATGATCATTTTCCCACTGCATAACTTGCAACAGGAAGTCAGTATTTACAGCTCTCAAGCCTCACATCCAACCTTCTCCTTTACAGGTTATTTGTTGTCAGATGTACGAGAATAGAGTAACGAATCTGACAGTCTATTGGAAAATCCCGGGCACGTAGTTTTGTACGGAACGAGTAGTCAAAACCACCCCGCATTCCTCCGACCGAGCAAAGGGATGCGTCCAGATAGCTCATTGAAGAGGTAAAAAAGAAGGTTGTTACTGGACAATTCTTGCGCGGGTTTTTCAAACACAGGAAAGAATTTAATTAATTACTACTATGCCTTTTGCAGTGCATACACGAAGTTGTGTAACTTGGTTTGAAAGTCTGCAGACAAAATCGCTAATCGCTCAGAAAACCTGACCCCTTTCCCATTCCAGGGAAAGAGACTCATTCATCTAAACCGATAGGAAGATTTTCTTTACTTAATGTTGAGAAGGGGCTTCTGAATTGCTTATATGAAAACAGGGTGCAGTATTTAGAAGACAGTGCTATACGTGCAGGTGCCAACTCAAAGGCTACACTGTACAAATTATTTAAAAATTTGCAGATCTTTGAAAACTATAGATCAAAATACTTAAAAGGGGTTCTGCTAAGCTGTGAAATGTATTTCACTTTCTCATTTCTTATCCTTTACTGCCATCTGATGGACATTCTTTTTTAAGTTGCAGAACTTGTAAACGATATAAAAACCTGTTTTACCGTTCAATATTTACTAACAACAGCCAAGAAATAAAGACCATCATACAACCAAACAGCAGGAACAATAAATATCTGTTTAATCATAAATACTTAAACATCCCCTGTTGTTCACCTCTGTCAGTTTCACAATAGGCTTATTTTAATTTATATTGGAATACTACTTGATTTTTCCCATGGAGAACTTGTCAGTAGACTGGAACTTGTCCGTAGAAACTCAGTTATACAAGGTACATTTGCTATATCTGAGGTCTAATTATTGGGAAACTTTTATAAATATTTGCCAGAATTATTAGTTATTCATATAATTTCCCCCCTTTTACCTTGAGGTGACCCCTAGATACCTTAATAAGGCAAAGGCCCTATAATGCTAGGTACTGAACAAACGGATAGCAAGTGGCAGGTCAGATTGTAAACATGTTTAAAATATAGCCTGACACAATTTGGAGCCTGACAAGTGGGGGAGAGGGGAGGAGTAAACAAAAACTATTGTATTTTATTTTTAATAAGTGTGCACCCTTTCAGTGTTAATTAACCTTCACTTCTCCACCCAAGAAATTTCAAATGTGAAACATAAGATAAATGTTTATACCATTACGATTTCTGGCTCTAACATGTTCATTCTTGTGTACTTCCTCACTTACCTCTTTTCTCATATGCTGATTTCCTACACACTGCCACATTCACTGATACACAGAGAGAAAGGGGGATGGAGGGAACTGTGAGATAGCTATAAATAACCTTTATGAAAAGTTACAAGTTTCAGCCCAAGTGCTACTTTCTAGCTAGGCACTCTCCTGTCCTAGATCACTGCAGTGTCTCAAGACATCAGTTTGAATTTTCAAGGCCATCTTCTCCATGCCTCTCAATCTTCAAACCCGTGAAAATTTGACTAATGAGCAAAGTGAGGACGACCTGTGGTGTGTCTATAGGGGACTGGTCCTCATATAGGAGGACAACCTGCTACTGCTACCATTTGTTATTCAACTGAATTGCCGTGAGACACTTCCATACAAATAGACCTTCCCATAAGCTAGACAACCAATTCTTCATCTACTTCTGGATATGTCAGCAGATGAATGCTGTTGCCTTCAAACTTCAACTGTCCAAGCCCCTCAAAATATAGTCAGTGTTCCACCTATAATTTTGAAGCCTTATACATAGGATCAGTTCCTCAACCAGGCCTAACAGCTGCTGCCACCAGTCAAGAGACAGGGTCATGAGGAATACATAGTGCATGCTATTCTTGATTACAAACTGCAGCAAGGCCAAATGTACTACCTCATACACTGGGAGGGCTATGGCCCTGACGAATGCTCCTGGGAACCTGCTGCCCATTTCCTTGTTCCTGACCTAGTAAAAAAAGTTTTACAGGGAACATCCTGACAAGCTGGGCCCAATGTCAATGGTAGGAAACTGAAATAGTGAAATTATAATTAGAAATAAGGCACACATTTTTAACAGTGATGATGATTAACCATTCAGCAAAATACCAAGGAGTCTGATGGATCCTCTGAGTCTTGATGTCTTCAAA